CCTTCTATGGAGGGTCCCAGTTTTTCGAAATCATCTAACGGCTTCTCGCAGTGTTCCGTAGGGAACTCCGATGGCAATAGCCGCATACCTGATGGAACGTCCATCATCAATAAGTGCCACACCATGCGCAACATCCTCAGCACTAAGTGGCATTTTTAAGTTTAAAAATTGAAATTAAGAAAACATAGATGAAAACTAAACGGTTTATCGCTTCAGAATTCAAATGAGACGGAATAAACATGTTAAATTCCGTAAAAAGTAAACTTGAAAAATCCTTTTTTGGATTAAGGATTAAGTGTGTTTACCTCTAATTGATATCCCCAATTTGAAAGATAGCAGAAACAAATATTAATTGGTAAAAAGAATGGTACAAATTAAGGGGAGAATTTTCTTTTATCGAGAAAATGAAAAAAAAATCAATTAACACATTGCATAAGCTGTTACGACATTTTTCGTTTTACTATCTTCATTTGTTGTTCATGTTGTAAAAAGGAAATTAGGACAAGAAACCGTGTATACCACCGTCATTGCCTAAACGAGAAAGGAATGCAGATTTTGTCAATTTTTCTTCTCTAGAGTTTGGATCGGCCAGACATTTGGGGTTGAGCGTCCGTGGCGACCGGGGTGGATTTCTGTTTGGCAAGATGTAAGTAGTCGAGTCGGTGAAAGAGGGCGGGACAGTATATCAGTGGGACAGTCGAGTGCTTTACATAAGAAAACTTATCTAAGTGTAAGGTAGTTTGATATATGGTATTGTGGTGTGCGGCGGCAGGTTCGGGAGTTATTAGCCGAGCCAGCGACGTCCCTGCTTTATGACTTGTAAGGAAATAGTGTAGTTTCTCAATGACGTCCCTGGGCCACATATCTTCCACCACTTCCTCGCCACTCTAGGATATTTATTCCCGCCCTCCTGCTAATTCTAGGGCCTGGTGACACTTTAATGGAGGCATCCCAACCCTCATCCCTTATGTCCCCACTGGATATCTCTATGCGGACAAAACCAACTTCACCTGAGAATGTATATTACTTTTTCCTTCTCTTTTTAAGTACCCGAGTGCCATTCGATATACATATACGGATTTCCCAGGGCGATGTATCCTACTTCATTTTGTGAAAATTCTATACTTCTAACTGTACTTAATGTGTTTATTGAGCCTTTTAAATGTGATATCTTTGGAATTTGTTCTTCTGGAATTCGGATTTGGTTTTTGTTTTTCACACGGGCTGCCGTATTAATAGAAACCCTCGAGCGTTGTATTGCTAAAACCGCGCGTTTTCCCCTCCCATCATATAAAACCAAATAATTACATTTTATTTATAGAAAGAAAACAAACTGCCGTGTAGGGGATTACAGGAATGGTTTTTAATAGGATTTAGAGGGCTTGACTTAACAAAAATCCTAAACATCCTAAAGTTCCAGTCCTATTAGATATAAATAAATCAACATAACCCAGTTTCAAATCGCTATAAATTGACTTTTATAAATCTATCAAAATTCTTTAAAAGTTCAGCTAAATTAAATCCTTGTATTTGACATTATTATCAAGCATTAACACTGGTAATGTAAGTCGGCTTTTTTTCAGCTCTACAAACTACAAACTGTGGGAAAAGATCTCGTGAAACTTCAACACCCAAATGAGATTAATGAGTGTTTATATAAATTTTTTCCTCCCAATTCGCTTAATCGTGTTCAACATTATTAATCAATTTGAAAGATAAACACAGTGGGTAAATAACCCAGAATCAGTACATCCAATAAACATACATATTTCTCAACAAAATGTAAAAAATGTACTAATTACATTTTTTAAATGAAACGAGGAACGATAAATAATAGTATATATGTTGTAGTAAACTGCTTGATTTACAATGTACAAAATATGTCACGGAAAAATGTGTTGTATAGCTACGATTAAAATTTTAACGAAGTCTTTCAATTAATAATTCTTTTTATGTTAGGTCTTGGTTGAGATGAAAAAGTTAGTGTCACGAGCGGGATTCGAACCCACGACCTTCCGCTTTAATTACACTTTAACGTTATAGATAGGCCATGCGAGGTTGTCACACGGTGGACTGCGAGAACACTGGACATGTACGTACATACGTGTAATTAAGCCTTACAAATCAAAATCCAAAAACTTTTTTTGGAATACCGAATCAATCAAACTGTACTATCTACATCGGCCTAATAACAACATAAATTTGCTAATTTGAAGGTAACACCTTATATTATGGAATATTCTTATTAATTTTAACCATGGAAAACCAATGTAGTCATAAAGCATTATATCGCTATTTTAAATTATGTTTTTAAGTTTTTCGGATGTGACGAATAAATTTAGGAAATACGTTTAATTTTAATTAATTAATCTTTATATAAGGTATTGGATGAAATAAAAAAACCAGTGTCACGAGCGGGATTCGAACCCACGACCTTTGGGTAAAACGCCGCTGCTCTACCACTTGAGCTATCGTGACCTCGATCCACTCGGACACCAACTTCCCATCTCAACCCACCTTTCGAATTTTCCCTCCTTTTTGCCATTTTTTAATTAATTTATTTTTTATTTCAACCAATACCTTACATAAAGATTAATTAAGTGAAATAAGATATTTGGTCAATCGGACCATGAAATGTAATGGATTTAATAAGTAAAATGAAGTATGTCTTCACTAAAACTCTTCTTGGCCATTTCATTTGGCCACTTCAAGATGGGAAGTTGGTGTCCGAGTGGATCGAAATCACGACAGCTGAAGTGGTAGAGTAGCGGCGTATTTAGCGGAAGGTCGTGGGTTCGAATCCCGCTCGTGACACTGGCTTTTTTATTTCACTAATACCTTACATAATAATTAATTAATTGAAATAAGTTATTTGGTCAATCGGACCACGAAATCTATGGGATTTAATTTTAATAATCACTGAATCAAAGATCACTGAACACACACAATAATCTATTTGTATGACAGTTATCACTTCCAACCTTACCTGATAATCCTCCAAGACGATTGAAGGGAATGTGACCCCGAGACCTCATTAAGTGAAAATTGCAAAGATTTCAGCGTGAAGGAGTGTGCCACTAGGCAACTTCTCCAAGAGACTCAAACAAATTCAAATACATAAACATATTTATTTAATACAATATTTGCAGTTGTAAATATCAAATATATTTAATAAAATATATAAAAAAATGAATAATAATTTGTCTTGTTTTATTTAGCTCGCCAGTACAAGTCGAACTCGAATGTCGATTAGTTTAATCAAGAAAGAACATAAGTTTGGATAGTTTCAAAGAACAAAAAGCTCTCAGTCCTGGCTAAGACATGAATTTGAAATGTATTCTCATTCCAGATTGCTATTGGGGCTTTTCTTTATGCACAAAAAGAATAGTCTGAAAATAAAGTGGATGATATTAAAAGGGTCGAAGCGGCAGTTGGGGAAATAGAATCCTTGGAAGTTCGGTCATAAATTGCTATTGAGCTGGTACTAGATTATAAGCTATGGTTATGCCCTGTTTTTAATTTTTATTGCCGTTTTAACTTTTTTTTTTTTCAAGAGATGTCCCCACTTTCCCGGTCCCTGAGCCGTGGAAGTTTTTATGATGTACAAATAGCTTCTCCGCATCATTTACGTTTTTTAAACTTTGTCTTTAGATTATGCATTTTATTGTTATGGTTTTAGGGTAAAGGTACAATTTTTTATTATAGCCCTCGTTAATTTATTTCTGTCGGAAACCGGAGAAAGTTTAATAATTTAGAAAATAAATTTGTGCTCCAAATGAGGTGTTCTAAAAATTTGAATTGTATTTCTCAACAAAATTACATAGTTACAGTTTATCAAAAACTCACTATTTTTCGTGGTCCGGTTGACAAATTAATATCTTTCAATTAATTAAGGGTTTTAGTTGAAGTAAAAAAGTCACTGTCACGAGCGGGATTGGAACCCACGACCTTCGGCTTGATACGCCGCTACTCTACCACTAGAGCTGTCGTGACTTCTATCCCCTCGGGCACTAACTTCCCATTTCAACCGCATCTTTTGAATTTTCCCTCCTTTTTGCCATTTTTCAAATGTCGCGTAATCTATTTGATTCTCGGCGACAAGTGAAATGGCCACGGAGAGCTTTAGTGAAGTATACTTCATGTTAATTAATTAAATTCACTATTTTTAGTGGTCTGCTTGACCAATTAATATCATCCAATTAATTAAAGGTTTTTAAGTTGAGATAAAATTGCGGCCTATCAAGCCGAAGGTCGTGGGTTTGAACCCCGCTCGGGACACTGACTTTTATCTCAACTTAAAAACCTTAATTAATTTATCAAAAACTGCATTTTAGGAATTTTGTTGAAAAACAAGAAAGTCATTTTATAAAAGTTTTATTATCAACTTTCAAACTTTATCTTTTACAAAAATTGTGTATTCGCATTTTGGAAATCTACACTATACTGTACCATCCAAACAGCAGCGTACAATTATTATATCAGGTTTTGTTAATCGGGCCCACCTATTTTTAAAATGTAAACCATTGTTGTGTAACGAATTATATTATTATCCAACATTTTTTGAACCGTTTTACAGGTAACTTTTTCTAGGAATATATTATAATATTTAATATAGTAACTTATGTATGCATGGTGACTTATACAGGTTTGTGTTTCGCTTTCTTTTTTATGAGTTGAACTTAAGTAGGAATAATAATTAATTTTTTAAACTTTATATAAGATCATTATTGTCATTTGTTAACATAATTGATTATTGTGGGACTTTAATGTCGAAGGAATTGTTTAATTTTTCCGCAGACTGTTACTTATTTTTTAATTTTTAATTCTCGTTTATTATGTTTTACATCTATTGTTTACAAACGTCAGTTTAAAAAAAAAACCTTCCCTGGCCATCCCTTGTACTTGGATATTATCCGACATCCATTAGTATGAGCGGTGTATGGTTAAAATAATTTATTACCCACGTGACAACACGCACTGACCCTTGTGTTCTGTTTCAGAATTCGATACGACACAACCTTTCTCTGCACAATCGTTTTATGAGAGTGCAGAACGAAGGGACGGGCAAGTCCTCCTGGTGGATGATCAATCCTGAGGCCAAGCCGGGAAAGTCCGCTAGGCGGAGAGCCACTTCCATGGAGACGTCCAAGTTCGAGAAAAGGAGAGGCCGAGTGAAAAAGAAGGTCGAAGCCCTGAGAAGCGGACTTGACGCCACGCCGTCGCCGAGCAGCTCCGTTTCAGAAAGTCTGGATCTCTTCCCTGAGTCACCACTCCACGGATTCCAGCTCAGGTAATTCCCGCCTTCTTTTTAACTCACGCATTAATTTGAAACTAGTTGACAACTTTCCTTCGTTTATTCATTTTTTAACGGTATAAAATCTTCATAAACTATCTCTTAAAGCTGAATTTATTGAAGTAAGAACTACTCATTCAGACTTTATTATTTTTTACCATAATCTTCGAATATTTTGTGTATTTCATTTTACTATCACTTTATGTCCCTAATTTTTTCTTCTAAACTAACATCCCTAACTAACAAAATAATAGTAAATTTGAAAAAATAACATTGTTTTATAACAATGTTGGATTTATTATGTTTATCTTTCGTTGCTTTTGGTTTGAAAGGGTTGAATTTAAATTGTTTGCTTGGCGTTGTAAGCGGGGTTACATGCGTTTGTCCTCCGATTTGTTTAGACACTAAACAAACATATGTTGCCAAATTAAAATAGGAAACGAACGAGTTCAGTACGACAGGGGTATTTTTACTTCTTTTCTGCATTGTTTATCGTTTGGCACTGTCATTGGAAATTTGTGTGGGTTTCTGTTACAAAGTTTAATCAAATAAAGGTAAATAAAATAAATTGTAGTTAAATCTAGTAATAATGATTATTTGGAGATCGTGAGATGCGGTCTTGTGTGATGTAGGTTTAGAAAAATATTTTCTTTATTGTGCCAACGTTTCGATCTTTTAGATTATCCTCAGGGCTCAAAGTGTGTGTTTTCTGTGTTGATATGTCACAGTTGTGTGTCGAACACTCGCAACACGACACACAACCTTGACACATCTACACAGAAGGCAAACACTTTGAGCCCTGAAGATGATCTAAATAAAGGTAGAAACGTTGGCACAATAAAGAAAATGTTTTTCTAAACCTACATCACACAAGACCGCATCTCACGATCTCCAAATAATTATCAATTAACGGTCACTAAATATTACACATTTCTAGTAGTAATATAAAATAAACCTACTTCTTCCAAGAAGGAAAGTTTTATCTTATTTCAATTTTCAACAAGTTTATAGAACTTAAAGGGAAGAAAAAAGCCATATGATGACCAATCGATCATTTTTGTGAATATCTTCTTCAGTATGAAACCTCAAGATATATACTTTTTACCACCTGTTAGACAAACTTTTCATGTTTAAAAGTGAAATTAATAAGACATCTGTTATGTCAAGAAAAGAAAGCACTTTTTTGCACAGAAAACTCGCTATTTGTACATAAATTCTCAAAATGTGTCTGCAATTAACTTAATTAACTGTGATTGCAATTTATATTTTTTTTTATTTAAGTTTTTTTCACGTTTGTATGGAGCGAGTATAAATTTATAAACTTCTGAACACAAAACCTATATTCATTTTACACCATGTTTCAAGCCGACTTACTAGCCATAGAAACATAATCACATGAAATAAATAACAAATATATCATGGATGCAACTATGAAAATACATAAAATAATAAATAAATTACATAACCAGGCAGCTCTTGGAGCTCTTCATGCCTACGCAATCAACTCAAAACTATTCTGGAATTGCCTGAATGCTTTAAAAAAAATCAGTAAATATGAAACGCTACAGTAAGTGGGTTCTAGATCAAGAGGGAGTTTAAGGTAACAAGTAAAACAGACACCCCAGCTAAAAACGCTCGGAAAAACGCCATGTTTTTTGGCATAAACAAGAGAAATAAAGAACTTGATATCTTGAGTTACTGGAAAACACAACAAATACGAGGAATCTATTCCAGTCATGAGGCAAGCTGTAAGTTAATCTCCTCAAAACCCAATGTTATAAATAGTAAGTCATACTCAACGAAAGGAATTAAAAGCACTAACAGGCATTAGTATACATATTTATATGAGCTCTAATGACTATATACCGGACATACTCTAGAAAATGCCGCTTACAAAATGGGACAGATGGCCAATATATATGGTCGACAATCGCCAGGAAAAGCCAATGCAGACTTCGATACAATACTCCTCAAAAGTATCATGTGCGACCCTCATGTACTTCGATGACCTCAATCTGTATCAATTTATTTGTAGCGCACAAAAATAAAAGTGTATTTTTAAAGAGAAAACAATCGAGGTTTCTAATTAAATGTGGCATATGTAGAGAACATAGGTTATTTCTGCTGAAAAAAATCACGATTTCCGAACCAACGAGCCCAACATATTTTGCAAAGAAATGTCATATCACTACATACTAGTAATTTCTTATTAAACAGTAACATCATATTGAAAAATTAATTAAGGTTTTTAGTTGAGATAAAAAAGTCAGTGTCATGAGCGGGATTCGAACCCACGACCTTCGGCTAAATACGCCGCTACTCTACCACTTGAGCTATCGTGACTTCGATCCACTCAGACTCTAACTTCCCATCTCAACTCCACCTTTTGGATTTTCCCTCCTTTTTGCCTTTTTGTCTCAACTAAAAACCTTAATTAATTGAAAGATATTAATTGATCAAGCGGACCACGAAAACTAGTGAATATTGAAAAATCTCAGTAGTACTAGAAGTAAATCGATAGAAAGCACCTTCACCTCGTTTGTTTACATAGATAAAAGGGCTAATTTTGTACAGACAAATTCACGATTTAAAGAGAAATTAATACCAATTCAGGAATTTATCCAATCTCTACAAATCCGGCTGTAAAAGTATCATGAAACCATAAATCCTCCACTATTAAATTATTTGATGGCTTGTAAAAACAGCCCCTTTTCCCATCCAAGTGTGATGAAGACAATGTACGAGAACTTCGAGACAATATTAGCACGAGCAGGACGATGGCGAATCGTTTACGGCGTCATAAATAAAACCATAAGACAAATGACCTCGATTTACCCCCATGGTATATAGATATGAAACTGGTCTTGGTTTATTTGTCCACCTCTTCCTCCTTGTCTATTTTATTGCTCACTATAAAGTTTTTAGAAGGGGACATTTTTGACATTTTCACTGGTCGGTTTGACTTTTCCATCTCAGTTAAAAGAATCCCATGAAAGTGTCTTTCTAAGTGGTTTAAACTAAACTAATCTTACTACTCGATTATTCACCGATGTTAATTCTATCCTTGTAGTCCAAGTTGCCACATTTATGTGCATTCATGTTCCCTGATATAACCAAGGAAGTGAGTGAAGGTCGCCTTTAATAAATTCATAATATATTCTACCCGAGCGACTTTAATTTGCATGCAGACTCCCTATCCAAACGATTTATCATAGAATTGTTAAAATGTAATTGATACTGGAAATAGCCATTATAAATTAATCGCGATGGGCTCCAGTCACTCCAGATTCTGTGAATTAATTTTGTCTCGGATTTGAAAACAAACGATTACTCCAAATTGCTTTTTAATACGATTCCAATTCAAGTCTAACCTTCAAAATATACTCTCAACGAAATTAATAAACTGCTCCAAATCTTGTGTCGAGACGTTCGAAGAATTAACTCGGCTGGAGGATTAACGAACAAAAACTTTTCTTTGTCATGACAACTGCTCCAATATTCAATCTACAATGGCACTCGGTGACGTTTCTTTTTGAAAATATGTCTTTTAACAGTTCAAAATTTATATTTATGTCGTAATTATTCATTTACAAAGGCTTAAACGAACTTTTTCCTGGCTTTAAAAATCAATTGAATGTTTTATTTTAAGCTATATCTAGTCTTTGAACGGATTAATCAACTGGACATAAATAAGTAGAATATCAGGAATCCTATAGAAAATCTTTGTGCCCGAGAAAATCAAAACTGTGGAGATAAAAATTAATGACCAATTCTTTTACGTTAATAAAAAATGTAAATTTTTGTTAAAGAATCACTTTTAGTCATGAAGATAGGGTTCATTGAAGGACGTTTTTAAGGTATTTCTACGACTTACAGTAATATATAATAATAACAATAATAATGGTTGAAACATCCTTCTTTTACTTTATCTTTTACCTTTAAGCACTAGGGCCTGAAAAATTTGAGGTCGAATATTAAATGAAATTCTTTCTGTGTAAGGTTTTGGTTGAGATAAAAAAGCCAGCGTCACGAGCGGGATTCGAACCCAAGACCTTCGGCTAAATACCCCGCTGCTCTACCACTTGAGCTATCGTGACTTCGATCCTTTCGGACATCAACTTTCCATCTCATCCTACGACCGTTCGAATTTTCCCTCTTTTTGCCATTTTCAAATGTCGTATAATTATGATTCGATTCTCAGCGACTCATGTGGCCACGGGGAGCTGTTAGTGAAGTGATACTCCTTTTACTTATTAAATATTAATCCATTTATGTTTTAGTGGTCAATTGACCAAGTTACTTCTTTTTAATTAATTATTCTTTTTGTGTAAGGTTTTCGTTGAGATAAAAAAGTCAGTGAGCGGCATTCGAGATTGAGAGTTGTTGTCCAAGAGGATCGCAGAAGCGATAGCTCAAGTGGTAGAGAAGCGGCGTATTTAGCTGAAGGTCGTGGGTTCGAATCCCGCTCGTGACAGTCACACACACACACACACACACACACACACACACACACACACACACACACACACACACACACACACACACACACACACACACACAAAATTAATTGAAAGAAGTAACTTGGTCAATTGACCACTAAAACATAAATGGATAAATGGTAAATAAAAAAGTCGAAGTTGAAGGAGCAAAATCTGTGCTGCAGGGAGGTGTCCTCGAACTTAATACTTTTTAAATGTGTGATTCTATGATATTAGGACGTGCCCGTTTACCGTAGTCGCACATATTTCGGCCACAGATCATGTATTCTATTTTTTGGTAAGTTTATCACAACTATGATTCTACTCCAATTGATGAACCATTTCCTCCTTGGCACAGGAAAAGCTGTGTGTGGTTGACCAGCCTTTATAATTGTTTAACAATCAATGAAGATATCCTTATATATTAAAGTCTCAGTATAATATAATTATCTGCCCCTTCGTCTTAATTTCTTATTTTTTTATTGTACACCATAAACTGTGAAACATTTCTAAAATCAT